CTAACTAACCTAATTATAAGTTCTGACTATCATAGGTGACTATATAACCGTATTTAATTATGCATATCATTTAAAAAGATCTGTATAAACATAATACTTAAACAAGAGGAGGCATATACCTATCACAAAATTGACCTTAAAGTTGTATCAATAAATGAAAATCTATACCAATGCAGAGTATTCATTCCTATATCCTATTCCCCTTTTCTTTCTTTAAAAGACATTATCATTTATAACTAACCCCATTTAAATAAAAACAAACATTTATAAACAATATTTGGGAATATGGGCATCGTTCTTTCTAAACTGCTCCCTGCTGATTGGGGATGATGTTTATATACCATAGGGATCATGATAAAACATAGAAACCTGACCAAGTCCTTGTTTTTGTAGTCTGTAAGGCTGTATCGTCTCAGCCTCAGGGGGTCTTGCTTGATCAAACCATATTAGTCTGGAAGGAATCAACAGCTTTTGATTTTCTGTGGAAACACAAGCAAAACCGTTATTTTTAAGTAGCCTGTCCTTAGACTTAAATTTTGAAGTCAAAGCATTTTTAAAATGTATAAGTTGGATTAATTTAGCAGCATTTATAATCAAATGTATTTTAGCAGCAGTAAGTCTTTCCTTGGCAATCAAACAATTTAAAGACAACAGTATAGTATCCAGATTCTCTGTGTATTTTCTATCTTTTTGTGGGTTTTTTATTACTTTATTTTTACTTTCTTTTGTTTCTTTTTTCCCGAGACAGGTTTTTTCTGTGGAAATCCGCCTGCCTCTGCTTCCTTCAGCAAATCTTACCGGTGTGTGCTACCACAACCGGCTACTCTATTTCCTCCTGTTATTTTTTCTCTCACAAGCCTACATATATTTTTAAATGCAGTGTAAACCGTTACAGGTTTTTCTTTATCTGGATATGTCTTTATCATCTTGGGAGTGCCGAGTCTAAACCCCAGAAGCGCCGGGATTGCGTGAGCATATGGAAGCTGCTCCAATGCCTCTCAGCAGCCCGACAGGGCAGGCTGTGGCGGCAGGTTTCCCTCTTTCTCTGAGACCCTTGGGGCGTGGAGGTCATCCCGCTCACTGACACCATTCTGTTACGATAAATCTTTCCGCCAAAAGCCTCCTAACAGCAGCCCGACAGGGCAGGCTGTGGCGGCAGGTTTCCCTCTTTCTCTGAGACCCTTGGGGCGTGGAGGTCATCCCGCTCACTGACACCATTCTGTTACGATAAATCTTTCCGCCAAAAGCCTCCTAAGCCCCACTGCCACGTGTGCACTTTATGCCAGTCGCCCACCTGAGTTAGGGCCCAAATGAATACACAGAGAGACTTGTATTAGGTTCAAAGCTTCTTGGCCAATGACTAGGATTCTCATCTGTTAGCTCAGTCTTAACTATCATAAACCTATATATTTTATAAGACTTATCAGACGCCTTATTGGCATCCCTCCTTGCCAATGGATCACATTGTGCTGCTGGAGCAGGAGCGGAGGGGAAAAGAGGGATGCTTCCTGTTTCTCCTTCTTTAAATATGAGTCTTCTTGCTATGTCACTTCCTGCCTGGATCACCATTTATCTACTACATTTCCCAGAATCCTCTTTGACTCCTTGTCCCGTCTAACTTGCTGTCTCATAGGCCAAACAGTATTTTATTCAACAATCAATAAGATAACCATACACAGTACATTCCCCATCAGGTAGTGGTTTCAGGAGGATAACAGAAGTGCATGAAAGATGCCTAGCATGAGGCTGAAGCCAGCAAAGCTCAGATACAGCCTCACTGCCTTTCCCTCATTTCTTTGTTTCAGTGATGAGGATCATGCCCAGGACTCATGAGTGCTGGGTAAACAGAATCATTGAACAACACTAGCCACCCTTTTTTCAAAATTATTTTTTTTAATTCTTGACAATTTCATGTATATACATTGTGTCTTGATTATGCCACCCCAGCTCCCTCCCTCCCAGACCTCCTGAACCCCTTAGTACTTCCTCCCCCACATTCATGTCCTATAAAATTTTTATTTTTATAACTCACTAGGTCCAGTTAGTGCTGCCTATATGTGCATGGATATGGGGCCATCCACGGGTAGTGTAAAAGCAGCCATGCCCCCAAAGAAAAGCGACTCCCACTCCCCCAACAGCCATCAATTGTGAATAGCTCTTCAGCTGGTGTGACGCTTCATTGGCTCCTCTCATCCATGGGGAATATTGACTGGCTTGATCCTACCCAGGTAACTGTAGTGCAGAGAGCTCATTAGTGCAGTCACCATGTTATGGCTGGATATAAACATTTATAAATATTTAAAAGTACTCCCCTAGGTCCTAGGACCTCTCCAGCCATGGGCTTTTGACCAGGTTTACAGTACCAGACATGAATTCCCTCCTGTTGAGCAGACCTCAAATCTAATCCCAAAGCTGTTGGTTACCCCATAACAGCCATGCCATTATTGCACCAGTAGGCACATCTTGGCAGGGTAGTAGTGTAGTATGTAGTCTATTGATACCTTTTCTCTCCCAGCAGACTATATAACACCATGTAGCACCATAAAACTAGCTGGCAGGAATGAAGTTTCCAGATCAATTTCAATCTGATTTCTTTATGTGTTCCTCAATAGTTCTTACCTTTTAGCTATGGTGAGCAACCAAGAATAATAATAATAATTTGTGTTATTTGGGGTGCCCTTAGGTTCTTTCTGACCTGTAACTCATAGGGAGGCATCTTACACTTGACACTGAGATTTTCATTTAAAAACATTGTCTTCTGGGGGAACATTGTCCATTCATTAAAGATACCTCTGTTCAAACTCCTTTTAAAAATATTTTAAAGTTATTTTACAAAGCATAAGGCCTTTTCATACATCCTTAGTTGTGTTTGACTCACCCCCATACCACAACCCTCATTCCTGCTTAAATACTAATGTTACCACACACACTTCCTTGTCACATTTGTTTTGTGCACTCACCCCATTATGGCCTCCTGTCCCCTGTATGCTATTTCTAGCTTCCTGACCTCAAAAACACACAAATAATAAAATAAAACACACAAATCTAAAAATTTGAAGCTAGGATCCTCACATGAGAGAAAGAGAGACATTTGTGTTTCTGGGCCTGGGCTACCTCTGTTTTATATTCTTCAGTTCCTTCCACTTTCCAGAAAATGTCAGAATTCCCTCTTCCTAGAATCTACACAAACCACCATTGTGTATGCCTAGGCTGATTTCACTTCCTAGCTGCTGTCAATTGAGCAGCAGGTATCCCTGTGGTAGGCTGTAGAATCATGCGGAGGAGTGGTACAGTTGGGTCATAGTATGGTTTGGATTTTAGCTTTTGGAGATACCGCCACACAGATTTCCATGGTGGCTGCACTGATTTACACCCCACCAACAGTGGATAAACATTCCCCTCCCCTCATATTCTCCTCAGCATTTATAGTACTGATGACGGCCCTTCTGACTAAGGTTAAGATAGAATCCCAATTTTAATTTACATTTCCTTGGTGCCTGGCCACGCTTTTTAACATAGATGTAAAAATCATTGTATTTTTTAAATTGAATGTATTTTTTTTTTAATTGATGATCTCTAAAACCCTAGTACAGAGCAAACTGTTTTAACTCAGTCGTGTGCCTCCTTTTAGACTTCATTCTTGGGTTTTGTTTAGCCCGCACTATTCTTAGGTCGGTAACTCCCATACTTATTGTACTGTGAAATCTTTCCATGATACTTACAAAAGAAGAGGTGGCGAGAGGGAGGCGTCACAATAAACAAAGGCATTTTGATCAAAGCAATTAGAAGCATGTTGATGTCTTTCTAACCCCTGCATAGCTAATACTGGCGAAACAAACAAACAAACAAAAAACTCTAAAACGTCCTGAGGAGTTGCTAAAGATGAATATGAGAAAGGCTAAAGAAACGCCCCCTTTCCCAGCACAGGACTTACATAAACATCGCTGGCTTATGTAAAGCTAAGCAAACTTCGCTTCAGCGTCTAAGCCTTTCTCGGCAGACTGCAGCTTTGTGTCTGTCACCTCCTCCCAGCAATTTTTCCAGACCCTGGAGATCCGACAGCAACTGCCTTCCACCGCCAGCAAAAGAAACCCACCCAGAACTTGAGTCCAGAAAACCGAGGGAAGGAGGTGTAAGAGTTCTTCTGCTGCGAAGACCGAGGTTGGCCACTGGAGCGCAGCACTGAGCAGCGACATGGGACTTGTAGGGGGTGTGGCCGGCCTGTGTGGTCATCCCTATGGAGATGGGGCTGTCCCTGTCCCACCTTCCTCCCCAGGCTGTGAGCTCTCCTTTTCACCGTACAGTGCCAAGAGGAAACTGCTGCAACCCAGCTGAGCCCCTTGGCCACTTCCCGGAGGTAAAGCCCCTGCCTTCTTGGCGATGGAAAAACCTTGAGCAGTGTCCAATGGAGGGTCTTGGAGGCCCCCCTAGCAGGGTCCGGTTTAAGTTGGGCTGTGGCAACTAAAGACTTCCCTCCTCCAGAACACTCCTGGGGTAGAAAGAAGTGCTCCAGGACTTTAGAAAACACTGGTTTTTCACGGGACTCCAGATATGACTCAGGCTAGCTCTCCCCCTCTGGCTTTCTCATCTTGTTCTACTTGCTACACTGGAGTCCAAAGACATGGGAAGGGGCTGTAGGGATAATAAAGAAGAGGCTAAGACTCTATAGTGACTAGTTTGTGGTTCTAAAAACTTCATATGCTATGATTTCATGAATATTGTGAATAATTATGACATATTGCTATGTGTTTATCTTTTGAGAAGTACTGGTGGTATGCTTATTAATAAACATTGTTCTAAATATCAGGACAGTTTCCTGGCACCATCTGTGTTAGAGTTTACACAATCCAAGCAGTGGTTTGCACATCCCGCCTGTGGCAGTCTGTCCTCAGAAACTGTTGCTCAGGAGCCTCAAAATTGTGTTCTAAAAACACTAATTTCAGGGGGAGGGTGGAAAAATAGGAGTGGAGGAAGTAAAAAAAAAATAGGGCAACAGTAATGCATTATTTTTCTTGAATGAATTTAAATAGTGCTGTTATTTCTTGCTTTGATTTTGTAGCTTCAAATCAGTAAGAATATCCAGCATTTAAAATACCAGCACAGGTACCATTCAATTTCTGTGTGTGTGTGTGTGTGTGTGTGTGTGTGTGTGTGTGTGTGTGTGTGTGAGAGAGCG